AATATTTAAACCTTCATCAAGAAGACCGTCAAACATGCTTCCAGATTCACAAGCTTCCAAGTAAAATACCTAATTAATTAACAACATACGTTCATTATTCAATATCGTCATATATAATTGATTCAAACTAGCTAGCGCTAAAATTACTTACCATTTTTTTATAAGTCCTAGAAGCATGTTTTATCTTCAACACCTCATTTAGTTCCGTGGCATAGACCGGTGGTTCTACAGGCATTGCTAAACATGAAAAAATTAGATTAATTAAAAACTTTGGTGAAAAATAATTTATGTTATATTTTAGTTAGAGTAAGAAATTAAAAAGCTATACCAACTACATCAGGAGCACCATGATCACTATAGTAAATAAAAATATAATCATTTGGACCACTGTTCACAACTTTTCCACTGCCTCCAGTTAGAACACTTTTGTTTCCCAAGATAACACCATAAAAGTTTTGAGCATTACAATCTTTTCCTGTGTAATCCTACTAGTATAAATCTCATAAAAAAAATTAATCAAATATATATAGATATATACACACACATTAGATTTAAGTAATAACATCTTGACAAAATAATTTGGGAGCGGAACTAGAAGTTCAAATATGAGTTCGATTGACACTCAATTGTCGTTATAAATTCAGAACCACACATACATACCTTGGGTACTCCTTTGTACACATCATGACCATGTGGGTTATTTATGATAACTCCAGGTCTAGGGTTCTCAGGATTGTAAGAAATGTCATCATACATGAATACAATAATGTGTTCATCTTTTAGACCTCCTTTCTTCAGTAGTTGATAAGCGTGATATATATTAGCCTGAAAGTATTAATCTAAATTAAGAAATTAATCGATCTTAGAAACAATTTCTTTACTATAACATATAGTATGATTAATTTAAATTATGTTAAATAATCTTTTGTCTTTTCATTACATTATTGTTAACCATAAGTTAACTTATTCAACCTCAAATATCTTTCAATTTTACGACAAATTCGGTATCGTGCTATGATCTCTGGCTAGGAAGAAAGTCATTACCAACTCGTTGAACATTGAACAAATATGCATGATGGTGGTATCATTATTTTTACTTTCATCTTTGATGTTATTGCTAAAGCGATGAATACAAGTGATTTTCAGTACTGATTCATATGAAATTAGCAAGTGTAGTATCACATTGATTAAATATATGTATATATTACCTGGTGTCTGTAGTTATACCATCCACTTGATCCAGCTACCAACACAGCCCATTGAGTTCCAATTGAATGCTCATGATCTTCAACAATACTCTCGATCACGTTACTACCCTCAACAAGTACCACAAAAAGTGCAACTAGGAATGATGCAACATTAATTTTGACAAACATTTTGAACTTTAGAAAAGTAATTGTATATTGCTGCTTTAATTTGATTAGTGGTGAGTTAATCCATTGGCTAACACAAATTAAATTTATAGAGTTTTCTAATTGTCTTATTCTATGCGTGTGGTTATGCATTCAATTATGTCAAGGTGTTAAATATTTCTACATTTGTTTTCTCTAGACTAATATATATACTCCCTCCGTTCCATATTTGATGAGCATTTTCTATTTTACACGGTAATTTAAGAAATCATTAATAGATTGATCAACTTTACTATTTTGTCCCTTGTTCATATTAATTAGCCTCTTGAAAAAAAATTGAATCTTCATAATTTGTTTAAACTTCCAAAGTTAGTAAGATGTCCATCTAATATGGGACCGTGGTAGTAATATACTCTCTCTGTCCCATATTAGTTGATCATTATACTAAATATACTTGTCTCATATTATATCACCTTACTAAATCAAGAAAGTATTAATTAATTTATTGTATAACTTACCTAAATCCCATAGTGTAAAGACCTAAATTACATTGTATCCCTACTCTTTTTCAATTTACAAAAATCCCTCAAAATCAGTGTTATCCGGATACATAGCAAACAAGTCGGATACATTAATTCCAATACATTAAAACAAATTCAGTTACACTTTTAAAGGAAAGGTAATCAATTTTGAATGTGAGTTCCCCAAATCATGCTAATCAATTTGTTGTCAATCTTTCTCAAATGGTAACTGCTTCAATTAATTCAAAATTCAAATTTTCTTCTCTCAATTCTCTTCCAAATCCTCCTAGCTTCAAACAATTCAATCAGAAGCAAATCCTTCCAGAATCAACAAATTCAAAATTCATTTTTTTCTCTCTATTCATCGTCTCATGTTCATCGAATAATCATTCAAATCAGATTCAAATTTACCGAAAATTTGATAAGATACATAATGAATAATTGTTGAACAAATAATTTCTTTTATGAATCTCAATTCCACCATTGCAGTAGATCGATGAGATGAGGAAAACTTGAAAATCTGATATATAGTAGAAGGAAATCCTTCCGGAATCTAAGAAAGTGAGGATTTTCTTCCGGAATCTGAAGCAAATCCTTTCGAAATTTGAGAAAGTGAGGTGAGGTATGAATGATACAAAAGTGATGAAATGGTTGTTGGTCAAAATATTGATTTGTGAATCTCAAATCAACCATTGCAGCTGAATTAAAGATCGATGAGTTGAGGAAAATTTTGGAGATCTGATACATCGTTGAGGTGAAGAATCAAGAGTTTGGATTTTCAATGTATCCGTTATGGATTGATACCAACAAACATAAACTCTAAAGAGATCCATACCTTTTATAATTTTGTGTAATCGTTTTCTGAATTTTATTTCCGAGATGGATAGATTTATCAATACATTACTATTTATGTATTTGGTAGTTGCTACGTATCAAATACAATTAGCGTAAATTCGAATTTATGTATCATGTCTAAAAAATTGTGTATTTGTTCATGCAAGAATAGAATGTTGTGTATCCGATACATAGAAACACCTAGATACATGATAAATGATACATTTAGTAGAAATTTTATATCAAGTATCAAAATTAATATTTGAACACGATACACTGTGTATGATAAAATTGTAATGTATCATAGTGTTGAAACAAAGATATTATACATTAATTTAAGAAACAAAATTAACTAGATACATTCAAAATCTAGTTAATGTATCCCAAACTATAACCGTAAGATAATTTAGTAATTTGAACATGATACATTGTACATAATGAAATTGTAATGTATCATAATGTTGAAACGAAGACATTACACATTAATTTAAGAAACAAACACATCTAGATACATTAAAAATCTGAACACATATATATTAGAAAAATATGAACAAGAAAAAATCAGGGAAAAAAAATTAAATTGATATGAAAATTGTAACTAATAAGATTGTAGAGAATCCTTTTGAAAATCAAATTCATATGAAAATTGTAACTGATAAGATTGTAGAGAATCCTTTTGAAAATTGTAACTGATAAGATTGTAGAGAATCCTTTTGAAAATTGTAACTAATAAGATTGTAGAGAATCCTTTTGAAAATCAAATTGATATGAAAATTGTAACTGATAAGATTGTAGAGTGAAATTAGGGACAGACTAAAAGAGTGAAAAAGGGAAGGAAATCATGTGTTAAGGCTGAAATACTTATGTATCCGTTTGACTTGAGAATTGAAAAAAAAAAAAAAGGGATTTTGAAAATATTTTGAAATGGTAGGGAATGGTGGAAATTATGGAAAATAAAGATGTGTATATAGGTAATTTATCCTAATTTATTTCTATATTATCCATGCAATTAATTCTTTTTGAAAGTGTTTATATTTATTTGTACAATTTCCAAGAAGTTCTTTAAGGGATAAATCAGTAAAATCATCTTCTTATTAATTTCTTAAGCAGCGTGTAAAATGAACTAATTAATATGGGATAATTAAGTAGAAGTATTACCTTGTGGGGGTAATTATAGTCTAATAATAAACGTTCATCAAATATATAGCAAAGAGAGTTGTTAGAATTTGCCTACTTATTTGAACAAACAAACGACATTTTTTTAATATATAAATGGACAAATAATTTATGACCTTACTCCATTTATTAATCCTTAAATTCAGTGTAATTAGTTAGAGGATATGGAGTAGTATGTGGAATACACGTCTCAAATAATATAGGGAAAATTATGTGATAAGACTGTTTTTACGACTTAACTATATAAATAATAGTAGTCCAATTATTAATCCTTAAATTAAGTGTAATTAGTTAGAGAATAATGGAGTAATGACTAATGGAGTGTGGAGTGAAGCCATACACTTCTCAGTTACTAATACACTTCCTATCTTTATTTTTACTTATTAACGATGAATATTGCGTTCTCCTTTAATTTTAAAAAAATGGAGTGCATATTATATGACTATTAATGATTCAAAAATTCTTGAAAAATGATTTAGAGAATAAGCAAACAGGTAAAATAGAAAAAAAAATCTCCTAATATGATAAAGTGAACAAATAAAAGTAAACTACGAGAATAATTAATTATTGTTGTCTAAATTTAATTGAATAATTCTATTAATTTAATTTTTAAAATAGTTTATGAGTAATTGAGATGCATATACAACAAATAATCCTACAAAATTTATTGTTTAAACCTTTTTTAGCTCTTTCCTGCAAATTCTCATTTTTTTAGTTAAATCCTTAATCAAGTATAAGTTGCAGAAGGAATCCATATTTTTGGGGATTTCTGATTCACTTCTCTTCTTTCTTTCTTTAAAGCAAAGTTGGGAAGTGAAATGATTTTCATCCTTTAATCAATAAAGCTCATATCGATCGATATTGTGATTTGCCTATTTTGCTTTAAATTATACAATTGTTAATTCTATTTTACATGTTTTTATAATTTGGTTAAATGTTGTTTGATTTGATTTTAACTTTTTTTTTTGGTGCACCCAATCATCAGAAGTTTTTTTATTTACGATCTAAAACTTGAACACCCTTCGTAAAATTTTTGGCTATGTCTAGGCAATGTAACTATTCATACTATACATAAAGGTACCACTGAAAATTGTTACAAAGGACAAGAATACACAGAAAAAGATGAAACTTGCTCTATACAAAAAATACACTAACTTTCATCCAGGATAAAATTGAAAGTTACAACACCCTTTTAATATAAAAAAGTATTATATAGTGTTATCTTACATAAATAACATGAATTTACCACATCATGTCATTTTCATAAGAGAATTTGTGTTTCCTAGTTAACCTTTCACAGCAGTTGAGAGTTAACTCCATTCGAAATCTTGGACAATCTCCATTTGATGGCTCACAAGGATAACCAATAAACCCCAAACAGATTGATCATACCGAACCCTTAACTCACTTCATCGACTGCAAAAACCAGATCATTCAAGATGTCCCTTCCCTTTTCTTTTTTGTTTTTTTTCGAAAGAGTGCACTGATTAACACTAACATTGCCCTATACAACAGTTACAAGAGTTGACATTCAAATTACAGAAGCAAAGGTTTAAGAACAGACCATTGCCTCTTTAAGTTATCAATTTTCTCTTTAGCCTTGACCAACAATATTTTGGTGTCTTCAATCTTACCTACTTTTTCTTCTGCTGAGGACATAGTGCGGTTAGCCTTTACAGATAATTCAAGTCTTTTCTCTAGAATTTCAGCCTTCCTCTTCCTAAGGAACATAAGCATATTTTCCATTTCTTTCTCTTCAGCCTCTTCTTGATCATACTTTAACTTCAATTCCATGTCAGTGTTCCTCAAGTCATCTAAAGTTTTCCTGTGCTTCTCAAGATCAATGAAGAAGTCTTGGCAACTAGACTCGGTCTGGCTTGCGTCCCTCAGGTCTTGAACTATCGAAGGGAATATATGTTTGATCTTTACCAACAGCCTGGCTTGTTCATCAGTGAATGACGAGAGATTCTCGTTCAGTAGGGTAATTGCTTCCTTCAATACCTTTTCATTAGCTCGGTCCGCCAACATCTTCAATGGTCCTCCAACAAAATGTTTCACTGTTTCCTTTGCAGACTCCAGATTAGAATTTGGTGTACTTGATAGTGAACGAAAATGATCCTTCGGGATAGACTTTAGGAATGATTCTACTTTATGGAAAGTAGAGTTCACATCTTGAATTATTGTTGGAGTTGGATTCTGATTAGGTACAGATGTGCTTTCCTCGGGCCGATCCTGCTTCATGCATAGGAAGAGAAGGAAGATAAATCCAGGATACCCATATTAAAGAAACTGTCAGGATAACTTACTACCTTTTCCAAAGAAAGAAAATGACTGCAAAAAGAATTTCGACAATCAGCTTGAGGGGTAGTGGCATTTTCAATATCAGAAGATATTTTCCTTTGACCTGGTACCATGTCCTCTAGTGGTCCCACAGTGTCTGAAGATGCTGGTGGAGTTGCTTGTTGCATGGCCTGAAAAGAGAAGACAGATTGTTAGACATCGAAAGATAAATCCAGGAAAAACATACTAAAGAAGCTCACAGGATAATTTACTACCTTTACCACAGAAAAAAGACTTGAAACAGGACTTCGACAATCAGCTTGAAGGGTTCTAACCAGCTCATTTTCAATTTCAGAAGATATTTTCCTTTGGCCTGGAGCGCTGTCCTCTAGTGGTCCCACAATGTCTGAGGATGCAGGTGGAGTTTCTTGTAGCATGGCCTGAAAAGAGAAGACAGATTGTTACACATAAAAGATAAATACAGTAAACCCCGATCCAAAATTAGGATCCATTCTTTTGGTTATCAAAAGAAGCTGTCAAGATAACTGTACTACCTTTCTGGCAGAAAAAAGCTGACTTGAACCAGGACCTTGACAATCAACTTGAGGGGTTCTAACCAGCTCATTATCACTAGCAGAAGATATTTTCATTCCCGGTGGCATGTCCTCTGACTGTCCCAAAATGTCCAAGGATGTGGGCAGTGTTGCTTGTGGCATGGCCTGAAAACAGAAGATATAGATTGTTATACATCTAAAGATAAATCCATGAAAACCATACTAAGGAAGCTAATAGGATGACTTTAATACCTTTTCTGCAGAAAGAAGATGGCCTGAAACAGGTTTCCCACAAACAGCTTGCGTGGTTCTAACCATCTCATTTTCGATAGCAGAAGATTTTCTTCTGGCTTGTGGCATAGCCTGAAAACAGAAGATATAGATTGTTATACACCTAAAGATAAAACCAGGAAAACCATACAAAGAAAGCAGACAAGATGACTTTAATACCTTTTCTGCAGAAAGAAGATGACTTGAAATAGGACACCCACAATCAGGTTGCACGGTTCTAACCAGCTCAATTTCGATACCAGAAGATTTCCTTCTGGCTTGTGGCATGGCCTGAAAACGGAAGATATAGATTGTTATACATTTAAATATAAATCCAGGAAAACCATACTACGGAAGCTGACAGGATGACTTTAATACCTTTTCTGCAGAAAAAAGATGATTTGAAACAGGACTCCCGCAATCAGTTTGTGCGGTTCTAACCAGCTCATTTTCGATAGCAGAAGATTTCCTTCTGGCTTGTGGCATGACCTGAAAACAAAAGATATAGATTGTTATACATCTAAAGATAAATCCAGGAAAACCATACTAAGGAAGCTAACAGGATGACTTTAATACCTTTTCTGCAGAAAGAAGATGACTTAAAACAGGACTCCCACAATCAGTTTCCGCGGTTCTAACCAGCTCATTTTCACTAGCAGAAAATTTCCTTCTGGCATGTGCCATGTCTTCTGACTGTCTCACAATATCCAAAGATCTTTGCTGAGTTGCTTGTGGCATGGCCTGAAAACAGAAGATATAGATTGTTATACACCTAAAGATAAAGGCGTAATACATAAACATGACCCTTAACTTGGCGTCAGATGACAACTATGACCTTTAACTTTGGATGTGCACAAGTAGGCACTTAAACTTGTATAAAATTGAACAAATAGACAAATCCGTCCTACATGACACCCAACATGGCAATTTTGTGTCCTATGTGGCGTCCTACACTTATTATGCCATGTAGGGCATGTGTGTCTACTTGTTCAATTTTATACAAGTTTAAGTGTCTACTTGTGCATACTCAAAGTTGGAGGGCATAGTTGTTCGTTGAAGCCAAGTTAAGGGTCATGTTTATGTATTATGTCAAAGATAAATCCAGGAACACCATACTAAGGGAGCTATCATATGACTTTAATACATTTTCTGCAGAAAGAAGATGACTCGAAACAGGTTTCCCACAATCAGTTTGCACGGTTCTAACCAGCTCATTTTCGATAGCAGAAGATTTTCTTCTGGCTTGTGGCATGGCCTGAAAGCAGAAGACATATATTGTTATACGCCTAAAGACAAATCCAGGAAAACCATACTAAGGAAGCTGACAGGATGACTTTAATACCTTTTCTGCAGAAAGAAGATGACTTGAAACAGGTTTCCCACAATCAGTTTGCGCGGTTCTAACCAGCTCATTTTCGATAGCAGAAGATTTTCTTCTGGCTTGTGGCATGGCCTGAAAACAGAAGATATAGATTTGTTATACACCTAAAGATAAATCCTGGCAAACCATACTATGGAAGCTGGCAGGATGGCTTTAATACCTTTTCTGCAGAAAGAAGATGATTTGAAACAGGACTCCCGCAATCAGGTTGCACAGTTCTAACCAGCTCATTTTCAATAGCAGAAGATTTCCTTCCGGCTTGTGGCATGGCCTGAAAACAAAGGTTATAGATTGTTATACATCTAAAGATGAATCCAGGAAAACCATACTAAGGAAGCTGACGAGATGACTTTAATACCTTTTCTGCAGAAAGAAGATGACTTGAAACAAGACTCCGACAATCAGTTTCCGCAGTTCTAACCAGCTCATTTTCGATAGCAGGAGATTTCCTTCTGGTTTGTGGCATGGCCTGAAAACAAAAGATTAGATTGCTATACATCTAAAGATAAATCAAGGAAAACCATACTAAGGAAGCTGACAGGATGACTTTAGTACCTTTTCTGCAGAAAGAAGATGACTTGAAACAGGTTTCCCACAATCAGTTTGCGTGGTTCTAACCAGCTCATTTTCGATAGCAGAAGATTTCCTTCTGGCTTGTGGCGTGGCCTGAAAACAAAGGTTATAGATTGTTATACATCTAAAGATGAATCCAGGAAAACCATACTAAGGAAGCTGACGAGATGACTTTAATACCTTTTCTGCAGAAAGAAGATGACTTGAAACAAGACTCCGACAATCAGTTTCCGCAGTTCTAACCAGCTCATTTTCGATAGCAGGAGATTTCCTTCTGGTTTGTGGCATGGCCTGAAAACAAAAGATTAGATTGCTATACATCTAAAGATAAATCAAGGAAAACCATACTAAGGAAGCTGACAGGATGACTTTAGTACCTTTTCTGCAGAAAGAAGATGACTTGAAACAGGTTTCCCACAATCAGTTTGCGTGGTTCTAACCAGCTCATTTTCGATAGCAGAAGATTTCCTTCTGGCTTGTGGCGTGGCCTGAAAACAAAGGTTATAGATTGTTATACATCTAAAGATGAATCCAGGAAAACCATACTAAGGAAGCTGACGAGATGACTTTAATACCTTTTCTGCAGAAAGAAGATGACTTGAAACAAGACTCCGACAATCAGTTTCCGCAGTTCTAACCAGCTCATTTTCGATAACAGAAGATTTCCTTCTGGTTTGTGGCATGGACTGAAAACAGAAGATTAGATTGCTATAGATCTAAAGATAAATCAAGGAAAACCATACTAAGGAAGCTGACAGGATGACTTTAGTACCTTTTCTGCAGAAAGAAGATGACTTGAAATAGGTTTCCCACAATCAGTTTGCGTGGTTCTAACCAGCTCATTTTCGATAGCAGAAGATTTCCTTCTGGCTTGTGGCGTGGCCTGAAAACAAAGGCTATAGATTGTTATACATCTAAAGATGAATCCAGGAAAACCATACTAAGGAAGCTGACAGGATGACTTTAATACCTTTTCTGCAGAAAGAAGATGACTTGAAACAAGACTCCGACAATCAGTTTCCGCAGTTCTAACCAACTCATTTTCGATAACAGAAGATTTCCTTCTGGTTTGTGGCATGGCCTGAAAACAGAAGATATAGATTGTTATACATCTAAATATAAATCAAGGAAAACCATACTAAGAAAGCTGACAGGATGACTTTAATACCTTTTCTGCAGAAAGAAGATGACTTGAAACCGGACTCCCACAATCAATTTGCACGGTTCTAGCCAGCTCATTTTCGACAGCAGAAGATTTCCTTCTGGCTTGTGCCATGTCCTCTGACTGTTTCACAATATCCAAAGATCTTTGCGGAGTTGCTTGTGGCATGGCCTAAAATGAGAAAATACAGATTGTTAAACATCTAGACATAAGCTGGTTGTTTTGAGGAAAGACGTGTCTTCATATATCACTTACGTCTTGCACTTTGTTGATTGGAGTTGATGACGACATTGATGACAGAGATTTGACACCATCCATCTTTGAATTGTTCCTTGTTGATAAATCAAGACGATAATTATTTTAATAAAGTGGTAGTTGTATCCCCTTGCTTATGCAGTTTCAACGCAGAAACTAGAGAGATTATGGAAAACGGTAAAAGTGCACGACAACCCTTAAAGTTTGTGAGAGGCATCTCAATACATAAACTTATACTGCCTCTGTCCCGGTGAAAGAAAATATAGTTCAAGACAGTCAGTATACTTGCACATTAAATTACTGATGGTGGAAGAAAATCCTTATTAAGTAGTAATTTAAAAGTTAGTTTAATAGAGAAAACATAACATCGAAATTTGAAATTTGAATTATAAAATGGATCTTAATTCTTGAAAGTTGTGAAATTGGTATATATGAGTAATAAAAGGGTCTCAAACATTTTGGAATGTCCAAAGTGTCATTAAAATGGGACAGGTGGTAAAAATTACAAAATTAATTTTGTTGAGAAATTAGAAGAAGAAAAAGAAGAGATATGGGGAATTGAATTGTTGATCATTCCCTCAAGTTGATGGGATTAAATAAGTTGATGGGATTAAATAGTTGTTACAGATAATGTAAATAAGGAAAGAAACTAATAAAATATTACACAATATCCTAACTATTAGGGAATATTCTTATATCTAGAGCATCTAATCGTACCTTATTTAAATATTCTCATAGCTATACTATCCAAATATACCATAATTAACACTCCCCCTCAAGCTGGAGCGTATACGCTCCTAGTTTGCCACATGTATCGTCAATTCTAGATCCTCGGAGTGATTTTGTGAAAATATCTGCCAGTTGATCTTTTGAGTTGACAAAACTTGTGGCGATGTATCCATACTCAATCTTCTCTCGGATAAAGTGACAATCTATCTCAATGTGCTTCGTTCTTTCATGGAACACTGCATTACAAGCAATATGTATCACAAATCAATGTCATCGGTTCAACTCCTCCCATCTTCAATTCTTGGAGAAGTTGTCTCAACCATATAAGCTCACATGTAGCTAGTGCCATAGCTCGATACTCTGCTTTTGCGCTTGATCTAGCTACGACAACTTGCTTTTTATTTTTCCAAGATATTAGATTGCCTCCAATTAGAACACAATAACCTGAAGTGGACCGCCTGTCAAAAGGAGATCCTGCCCAATCTGCATTAGAATATCCAACAATGTTGGTGTGTCCCTTATCTTCATACAATAAACCTTGTCCTGGAGAGCTTTTGATATATCGCAGGATGCGAATCACTGCATTCCAGTGACTATCACAAGGTGATTGCAAAAATTGGCTAACTATACTAACAACAAATGAGATGTCTGGTCGCGTGATCGTGAGATAGTTGAGTTTGCCAACAAATCTCCGATATCTGCTAGGATCTTTTAGAGGCTCCCCCTGTCCTGGAATAAGCTTAGTATTTGGATCCATTGGACTGTCCACATGTTTGCAATCCAACATACCAGCGTCTTCCAAAATGTCTAAGGCATATTTCCTTTGAGTAATAGAAATACCATGGCCAGATTGTGCTACTTCAATGCCTAAAAAGTATTTCAACTTGCCCAAATCCTTAGTCTGAAAGTGACTTGAGAGGTGTTGTTTGAGTTGAGCAATACCTTCATGATCATCTCCTGGGATAACAATATCATCAACATAAACAATTCAAAAGATATGTTTATCATGAGATGAATGCCTATAGAATACAGAGTGATCAGCTTCTGTTTAGATCATTCCAAATTGTTGGACAACTTAAAAACGACCAAACCATGCTCTAGGAGATTGCTTGAGACCATAGAGGGATCGGCGAAGTTTACAAACTAGCCTAGACTCCCCCTGAGCAACAAACCCTGGTGGTTGCTCCATATATACCACTTCAGCAAGTTCTCCATGTAGGAATGCATTTTTGATGTCCAACAGAAAAAGGGGCCAATGATTCATTGCTACCATAGAGATAAGAAGACAGACAGAAGCCATCTTGGCAACTGGTAAAAAAGTATCTCCATAATCGATGCCATAAATCTGAGTGTATCCCTTAGCAACCAGTCTCGCTTTGAGACGATCAATAGCTCCATCTGAGCCTACCTTAATTGTGAATACCCAGCGACAACCAACTGTGGTTTTGCCTTCAGGTAAAAAAACAAGCTCCCAAGTACCATTATCATGCAAAGCAGTCATCTCCTCAATCATGGCCTGATGCCAACCTGGATGACCCAGTGCTTCTGCCACAGTCTTAGGAACTTTGACCGATGATAAGCTAGTGAGAAAGGCATGATATGATGGTGACAGACGATGATAACTTAAATAAGCATAAATGGGAGTTTGATTGGCAGTAGTTCTAGTACCTTTGTGAAGAGCAATGGGAAGATCATCTTATAAGTGCTCGACCGAAGCAGGAGACGTTGTTGGAGCAGGTAATGAGTCACCAGGATTGTTTTGTGTACCTGTATCAGAGTTAGAAATACTAATTGGATTAAGAGGCTCAAAAAAAGGTTGAGGTCGTCGAGAATAGACCTTAAGAGTCGGAAGTGGAGCTGGGATTGGAATCGTTGGAATTGTTGGAATTGGAAGGACTGATATGGCCTTTTGATTTTCCGTTTTAGGAGAAAAATACGGAGAAGTCTCGAAAAAAGTAACATCTGCAGAGACCAAGTATTTATTAGTTGAGGGATCAAAGCATTTGTAACCTTTTTGTAGACGAGAATACCCGAGAAAGACATATTTGAAAGCCTTGTGCTGAAGTTTTATCTTTTCCAGGGGTAAGATTATGAACAAAACAGGTGCAACCAAACACACGTGGAGGAAGAGGAAACAAATTTTGGTCCGGATAGAGGACCGAGTGTGGACTTTGGTACTGCAAAACATATGAAGGCATGCGATTTATTAAATAACAAGCAGTAATAACGGCATCACCCCAAAAACGCAAAGGGACATGATTGTGAATAAGCAATGTCCGAGATGTTTCAATTAGATGTCTGTTCTTTCGCTCAGCAACTCCATTTTGTTGAGGAGTATGTGCGCAAGAAGACAAGTGCAATATGCCCTGAGATGACATAAAAGAAGAGAGAGAAATAGAGAAGTATTCTCGGGCATTATCACTGATTAACTTCTTAATGGAAATACCAAATTGATTGTGAATTTCAGCACAAAATTTCTGAAAGATAGAGAATAACTCAGATCTATTCTTCATTAAAAATAACCATGTGTATCGAGAATAGTCATCAATAAAAGTAACAACATAATGAAAGCCTAAGGAAGAACTGACACGACTTGGACACAATATATCAGAATGAACAATTTCAAACATAGAGGTAGCCCTATTATTGGTGCGCTTTGGGAAAGAGGCACAAGTATGTTTCCCAAGCTGACACGACTCACATTCTAACAAAGATAAACTAGATAAACAGGGGACCATCTTCTGCAATTTCAAGAGACTTGGATGACCCAATTGACTATGGAGCGATTCAGAAGAACCAGCGGAAGTGAAAGCAACATGTGGTGTTGGAATAGATAGCAGGTACAATCCTTGTGACTCATGTCCTTTTCCAATCATTTGTCTCGTACTCCGATCCTGCACAATAACAGAATCATCAAGGAAGGTTACAACACATTTCAGGTTTTTTGTCAATTTGCTAATGGAAATAAGATTATACGAGCATTCAGGTGCAAAAAGGACTGATTTTAAAGGTATAGAAGGTAGAGGGTGAGCTACACCTATCCCTTTTACAATAGTCTTTGATCCATTAGCCAAAGTAACAGTAGAGAAGGTAGAAGGGGTAGTAAGAGAGTATTTTTGTTACCAAATATGGTCAGAAGCACCAGAATCAAGAATCCATTGTCCCTGAGATGAAGAATGTGCGACATAAGCAAAGGAGTTACCAGATTGTGTTGTGCAAGCAGCCGATGAGGTTGATAATTGTTGCCTTGATAATTGGTACTGAAGGTAGTCATTATAGTCTGCTCCAGTTTAAGTGACTGATTGAGATGATCCATCCTTGGCGTTAGGTATAGGTAGAATACCATCTCCATTATGAGTCATATTTGTTGTGTGTCGAGGACGATCATTATTGTGTGGAGGCTTACCATGAAAAAGCCGACATTCTTCTCTTATATGCCCTCCCTTATTACAATGAGTACAATGTTAGAGGAGAAGTCAAATTTCCTCTCGTATATGTCCTCCCTTATTACAATGAGTGCAATGTTTATTGTTCCTCCATTTTCCTTTCCTGTATCCACCTTGGAAATTGTTAGTTTGGACAGCCATGATAGATGCATCATAAGAATTTACCTCTGGTGGTGCAGATGTGATGCATAGTAATCTTGCAAATACTTCTTCCAAGGTAGGAATAGATGGGCTAGAAAGGATTTGGTCATGAATTGAGGTTAGGTCTGCTCGCAACCCAATCAAAGCCAAGACCATAAAGAAACTGTCTCTTTGAGTCTCCTGCTCATTTAATTTGTCAGTAAAAGGCATAAGAGAATCAAATTTATCCTTTTAAGGATTCTGCCTGACCCAAATAAGTTGCCATGTCTTGTTGATTCTGTTGTAAATGAACAATATCTGACACAACTTTGAAAATGAGTTGTATATCATTTGTATACAAAGTTTTGGCTTTGTTCCACACTTTGCAACAAGTTTTACAAGATTGAAACAAATTTCACAACTTAGGATCAAGTGAATTCCACAGAAGACTACACAATTGTGCATCAATTTTAACCCAGCAGGTCTATCAGTTGCTCCAATATTACTACTGTTTTAGACCAAGTGATCTTCAAATCCTTGACCTATAAACCACAATTCTACAGAGGCTGCCCAGGAGGTGTAATTACCACTACCATCTAACTTTACCGTAGTAAATTACCAGTGATGGTGTAGAAGAAACAATTGACTTAACAATCTGATTTGGAGTAATCTGATTATCAGTTTGGTTATGAGGCATTTTTATTTGTCACAAAGAGAAGTACTGATGAAGTAAGAAAGTAAGCGTCTTCAACAGATATGGAGAAACAAAGAAGTAGACAACCAAATGTAAGAAAGAAAGAAATTAGACAAACTTTAAATGACCTGAAGAAAGAGAGACGAAAGAGGGAGGTGAGAATGAAGTGAATCTGATATGATTGATTTAACAGCTATTGATCGATCCCTCCCTTTTTTTTCCAGTTTTTTTTTGTTACTGCAGAGAACATTCAGAGAGAGGGCTGGAAAAAAAAAGCCTTGTGGCTCTGATACCATGAGAAATTAGAAGAAGAAAAAGAAGAGATATGGGGAATTGAATTGTTGATCATTCCCTCAAGTTGATGGGATTAAATAGCTGTTACAGATAATGTAAATAAGGAAAGAAACTAATAAAATATTACATAATATCCTAACTACTTAATTAAAGGGATTAGGGATTATTCTCATATCTAGAGCATCTAATCGTACCATATTTAAATATTCTCATATCTATACTATCCAAATATACCATAATTAACATTTGTGATAGGTTAAGACTGGGAATTTACATGGAAAGTGTCAAATGTTTCCTTTTTGGGGTATAACAGCTTAAAAATACCAGTGGCTGTGAAGGGCACAACTGGAGAGTAAGAAATAAAAAGGAAGAGAGCTAACTGCTGGAGAACACTAATTGAGGGTTAACTAAGTTTTTAAAAATCTGGGGGGAGGGAGAGGATAAGAAGCCATCCCTCTAATTTGGAAATTTAAAAGGGTAAAACAATATATTCAGTAAAATAGTGGCCATTGAAGCAACTGTAAGGGTTATGTTGCCAAAAATGCAAGAGTCTATAGGAGTGATGCAATTTTCTCGAAGAGACAAGAATCACAGAAAATTCATGAAACAAATTTGACTACAAACTTTCTGTTAGTGCAACAGTTAAAGAGAAAACATTCAGTCACAAGTACGGAATAACAGTTATAGTTTATAGCAAGATCAACCTCTTGCCTAGAGGACTTCAAGCTAGACAATGACACCTCTACTCTAACCATGTCATTTTCAGTACCACTGTTGATCAAAGCTTAATATGTTCCTAATATAAAAAAAAGCTTAACATGCTAATCCATCTTCCAGGCAACAGAAATATTAAAAACACAATCTTCTAGAGAAGATAGTCACACGTGCGGCACACAACACCAGGACCTACTTAATAAACAAACTGCTATCAATAACACAATTTGTTTACACCAACAGATGAAAAAATGGACTGAAACAAGGAGAGGGAGTACAGAAGATAGCACAGTTTCAGGTGAGACTAATCCATCTTCCAGGCAACAGAAATACTAAAAACACAATCTTGTAGAGAAGATAGTCACACGTGCAGCGCACAACACCAGGACCTACTTAATAAACAAACTACTATCAATAACACAATTTGTTTACACCAACAGATGAATAAAATGGACTGAAACAAGGAGATGGTGTAAAGAGGATAACACAGTTTCAGGTGAGACTAACTCACTGACTTCTCATTCCCAGTTCGCAAACGGCATGCGTCATGGCATGAAAAATCATCTTTTTGACTTGTGGTACAAAGAGCAGATTATCACCTTTACCAAAACTATATTCAAGCAAAAGTAAATAGAGGATTTCATCGAAAAATGTAACTAAAAGATTTAGAAGGCATCATCGAAGCAATATCCACAAAAAAATGTAGAATAATAAGACATCTAATATAAGGGCTTCCAGTGATGAAATTATGTCAACTATTTGCACAAACACTTGATATAAAGTTATTAAATGAGCTGTTATATTGATGCAATGAGAAAGTATTATCTTATGGAAGTAGTATTCTATCCACAAGCAATACTTATGGAAGTAGTATTCTATCCACAAGCAATTATTGAGGAATGTAAAATACAGAGAGAATGGAGCAAGTTTCAATATTGTATTACTCCAAACGGAGAGCTATTTGTAGGTGTACAAATAATCTATCTAAGGAAAACAAAATCAGAAAATCCCTAGATATCTCAATCAATGATTGTGCTGTGATTATGCTATGTATTCTATATGAAAATGTGTCTATGTACATTCTATAACACTCCCCCTCATGTTGGAGCATAGATACTAATCATGCCCAACTTGTTACAAAGATATTCAACCCGAGTTCCATTTAAAGCCTTCTTGAACATATCACCCAATTGGTCTCCTGTTTTCACATATCGAGTAGAAATCATGTTCCCTGGAATCTTCTCACAAACAAAGTGATATCAACCTCAATGTGTTTCGTCCATTCATGGTACGCTGGATTTGAGGAAATGTGTAGAGCAGCCTGATTATCACACCAAAGTTTTGCTGGAGACAAAGGGTTCACAAACCGATCTAAACTAAAAATTGATGAATCCATAGTATTTCACATGCAGATTGAGCCATAGCTCTATACTCATATTCTATACTAGATCGAGATACAACAGTTTGATTCTTACTCCTCCAAGATACCAGATTTTCACCAACAAAAACACAATAGCGAGTAGTAGATCTTTTATCAATTCTTGATCCAGCCCAATCAGCATCAGCAAAACACTCAATACGAGTATGTCTGTGGTCACTATAGAAAATGCCAAGGCCAGGTGCTCCTTTCAAGTAGCACAAGATGTGTTCCAAGGCTGCCCAATGTTTGACTGTAGGTGCAGACATCAATTGGCTGATGATACTAACTACATGTGCAATATTTGGATGGGGCAATATGAGGTAGTTCAATTTCCCAACCAAGTTTCTGTATCTTTCTGGATCATCAAAAGGATCACCATCATCCTTAGTAAGATGAACATTAGGAGCCATTGGTGTGCGACATGGTTTGGCTCCCAATTTTCCAGTTTTTGCAAGTAGATCAACTACATATTTTCTTTGTGACAAGAAAATTCCTTTCTTGCTTCTTGCTACTTCAACACCCAAGAAGTATTTTAGCTGCCCCAAATCTTTGGTATGAAACTTGGCATGTAAAAACTCCTTGAGAGAAGAAATTCCTGCACAATCATCTCCAGTAATAACAATATCGTCAACATAAACAACCAAAAGAATAGTACCAATTGTTGACTGTCTATAGAGAACTGAGTGATCACACTTGCTCTTCTTTAGTCCAAATTTCTGAACTACATCGCTAAATTTTTCAAACCAAGCACGAGGACTTTGGTTTAGACCATATACATATTTTCTCATACGACAAACTTTTCCATACTCCCCTTGAGCAACAAACCCAGATGGTTGCTGCATATACACTTCTTCATTGAGATCACCATGAAGAAATGCATTTTTGATATCCAACTGATGTAAAGGCCAACGCTGAGAAACAACTAAGGAAACAAACAAGTGAACAGAGGTGAGCTTGGCTACCGGGGAGAAGGTGTCAAAATAATCTACCCCATAGGTCTGAGCATAGCCTTTAGCTACAAGTCTGGCCTTGAGTCTTGCAATAGAGCCATCTGGATTTACTTTGACCGCAAAGATCCATTTGCATTCAACTGCTTTCTTTCCTTTGGGTAAATCTACCAAATTCCAATTGTGATTTTCATGCATGTATATCCTCAAGAATTGTGTCATGCCATCTAGGATGGTTCAAGGCATCCTTCCTTGTTTTGAGGATAGAGATAGAGTCTAGAGAGGCAATCATACAACTAGATGCAGCTGATAAGTGGCATTTCAGAGATCATCATTTACATGTCATTTGCCAATTAACGGATTTGTTGTAAGATCACGATACAGACAATGATCGAGAAAGAACGAAATATAACAATTAAGATCTCCGGTAAGTTTACTTATAAATATTAAATTTAAAGCCAATTTTGGTAAACTTAACACGGACGACAAGGTAATAGAGGAGGTTGGTTTAACAATTCCAAATCCAAGACTGTTACAAGTTGATCCATCGGGTAGAGTAACTAGAGATGGTGCTTTGTGTGGTCGAAAGCTTGAAAAGATATTAGGATTACCTATCATGTAATTTGTGGCACCTGAATCAATGACCCATTTATTTGAACCGGCTAGTAACTGAACTGGATTTTTGATATTGAGAGAAGTTAGCAAACTCCTCGACCAAAACCAAAACCATTTTCTCAGATGATGAACTAGAAGTACCAAAACTTCAGACCTTCGAGTTACCAGATTATGATCAATTATTGTTCCAATTAAATACTCAATGTATCAAAAATAATTTTAGAGGTGAAACCATAAAAATTTCACGAAGTAGAAATACCCTAACAGATTTCCAGATGCTTAAGAATTAATAGAGCTCGGTTGATCCAATCAAACTAATTCTTCACTTAGAGTAAACAATCAATCAAGCCAGAGATTCGCCGAGGAAAATTCGACCAAAATTTTAGCAGTAATCTGAAACCAAAATTAGCAAATGCAATGTCAATCAATTTTACCCAAGGAAAACAAAGTTTGAGGAACCTGGAATGCTCGAAAATAACCCAACTGAAGTCTGTTGAACAAGAGACCTCAAAATCTGACCGGAAATATTGAGAGAATGCTGGAATTAAAAAATCTGATCTGATTCAGATGTTACACACGCCCCCACGTGCCTCGTATGGAGAAGCTGCCTGAAATAGTTGCCGGAGCGTGAGCCTCACACTCTTCCCTGTCAGCCCCCGGATACTGGGTTCTTATAGATCAGGTGAGGTGGTCCTCCGTAGGTTGGTTGTGAGGTTGGAATATCAAGTTCCAAGTACCTCCCAGTACCAGACGTGACCAACCAAGTCACTTACGGATAATTTTTTGAACTGGCCGACACCAGTGATTCGAAAAGAAAAAGAAAAGAAACAAAATAAAAACTCTACTCTGATACCATGTAAAATACAGAGAGCATGGAGCAAGTTTCAATATTGTATTAATCCAAAAGGAGTGCTATTGTAGGTGTACAAATAATCTAAGGAAAACAAAATCAAAAAATCCCTAAATATCTCTATCAATGGTTGTGCTGTGTATTCTATATGAAAATGTGTCTATGTACATTCTATAACAAAGAACATAAAGTACAATGTCCAATCCATGATGAAGAAATCCAAGGATTTTATTAATAGGATTCATGCTTAAGACGGAACTCATTTATCCCTCAAACTGTATGGAAAAGTATTAAAACGACGAAGCGCTCACTTCTAACAACACTGATCGTGCTTACGACAGAACTCATTTATCGCTCAAATTGAATGGCAGAGCATTAAACATTACTCGACTATTGAAAGCCACTTCATCTTTTTTTTTCATGGAAGGTATTGTCTTCTCATAATAAGAAATAATGCAAAACTCTTATTTGAACAAAGTGGGAAAATGTGATATTTGTGGTATAATAGGAAAAACACTAATACCTTAACCGAAGGATAGCAGCCTGCTTCTATGGCTATCCCGCTTTGGAAGAACCTTGACTATAGCTAACCTTAAGAGCTCAATTAAGGACAAGGTTGGGTGGGCAGTGAAAGGCTCATTTAGTAGATTTAATAGAGACATTGTTGTTGCCAGGGAAGGGAACTCGTCTGGTCTGCATTACACTCATTCCCCTTACGAGATTCAAAAATGTCCCCAAACAGTTGAAACTTATTAGAAGAAAGATATTCCTCAAGCGTAAATAATTAAACTTCCTTTGTGTTTCAAATATAGCCTTACACACAGATCCATGTCACACTTAACTACATATTTCCAGAACAATTGAAGAGCCTATAAATAATACTCCCTCTGTCCTGAGAATAATAGCGAGGTCCAGAGTAATAGAGTCAAACATCTAATTCTAGGTGTGAACTCAAAAATTAATACGGCAAAACTTTTAAAATAGAATTTACGTACTTGAAACCATATAAAAAGTAGTCCAATTCGAAACTCTTTTACATTTAAAAATAGTTAGACATTTTAGACTGTTTTGACTCTCCAAAATGATAATGGGGTCATATAGAGAGTAATCAACTTAAAAAGGAATGTGAATCTGTGCAAAGAGAAATTCTGGCAAGAACATGGTCATAAAAAACAGAAGCATATAAACAGCTCTGAGAAACATAGAACAAGAGAAGTACCTCCAGTTTGTCTTCTTTAGCAACATGATCTTGGGGAAGTTTGCGGAATTCCTCAGTCAAACGAATGCATTCACCAACATTTTCAGGTGAAACGAAGCAAAGAGCAACATTTATGCACGACTGTGGAAGTGAGAATGTTAGTTTACAGAGAAGGGAGAACATAACAATCTGGTTTCTCTTGTTATTGAACAAGTGGGAACATTAGTTTGATAAACCAGCAAAGAAATATTTATGAAAGCAAAACTACTTACTTCATTATAAAACAGATTAATTTATAGTGTTTACAAGCCAACTGAAATTAAGAAACCAACTCCTAAGGATTAGGGATAAGATTAGAAACTAATTATGGATAAGATAGAAACTAATTAACTTCTATGGAGTAAATTACTACCCTAAAATACAGAGAACTTGGACTGCTGTAGTTCTTGTGCATATTTCTAACAAAGAAACAATTTAGAATAACCAAACTAACAAGACCAATACTACTACTGTTTTATCAAAAAAGATCAATTTAATACATTTTTTTAGTTGTGACCTTACTTTACATCTTCTGATCATTAGATATCTCTGAGGTCTAACCTACACCAACTTTTACAAAATCTACAGTTACTTCTTCATCTCTAGCCACAATGCCACCACTTCTGACATCATCATCGTCTGCCTCGTGCATCAGGCCAGATGATTCACCGAACCCTACAACTATTGCAGACTTGTCTACTCTAATCAACTTATTGCACTTCAAAAACATATACAATCCACTCGTAATACTAACCTTCATAATAACTATTTAAGTTATCGTCTGTCATCACTCCATAAGGCCTTTGTATATTCTTTCTCCTTTGTTTCCATCAGTAAGATTACTTTTAAAGCACTCTCATACAACATGGTGATAGACCATAATTGATGAGATGTTTGCTTTACATGCAAGTGGTACTTGAAAGCTTGTTCCTCTTCCTTAGATTAATATATTGTTGGTTGTCGTTAGATTTATGCAGTCAAAGTTCATCCAAACGACCAAGTTGATAGACTGAAGATTCACCTTATTGCCAAGGTGTATACTTATATATTTGGGCTTGATAACAGTGATACTCTCTTTCCTCTAGCTTAAATACCATTTGTTTGTCTTTTTCTATCCATGGTTGTTGTTTGACATTGGCCTCTTATCAGTTGGACATTCAATTTAAAATGCTTATCTCAATGGTGACCTAGAGGATGAATCTCAATGGTAACCTAGAGGATGAAGTTTATATGAAGCAACCACCTAATTTTGTAGCTAGGAGGAGGGGGTGTCAAGTAGGCATCAGTCGTTCTATAGTCTGAAACAATCTCCTCGAGCTTGGTTGGGAAGTTTGCATAGTAATCCAAGAGTTTGGCATGACTCGTAGTAAAGCACATCGCTTTGTGTTTTATCAACATTTTTCTCCAAAGTTGTGTATTTATTTGGTGATTTATATTGATGATATTGTTGGCATTGGCGATGATCAGGACGGTATCACTAATTTAAAGCAACATCTTGTTTGGCATTTTCAGACTAAAGACCGCGGTAGACGAAAGCATTTCTAGTAATTGCCTATTTAGGTAGCTCAGTCCATATATGGTTTTTTAATTTCACAATGAAAGTATACCTTAGACATATTTTGAGAGATGTGAATGATGGGATGTAGACCTATTGATACTCCTACTAGATCCGAGTGCTAAACTCAAGTCAAGACAAAGGGAGGCACTTAGTGATCCTGGAAGATATTGGTGGCTGATTTGTAAGTTGAATTACCTCATTGTGATTAGACCTGATGTTGCTTTACATGTGAGTGTTGCAAGTTAGTTTACGGATTCTTGGTGTAATAGCCATTGTAACGCAGTTGTCTGAATTCTGTTATATATAAAGTCAGTTCTAGTTAAAGGACTACTCTTTGAGGATTGATGCCACGAGTAGATTGTTAGATATTTGTCATTGATCGACAAAAGCATGAGGTAATTGATACCCTGGAAGAGTAAGAAATAGAATGTGGTTGCTAGATCTAGTGCAAAAGTTGAATAACCAGCAATGGTTGTAGAACCTTATGAGCTAGTATGGAAATATGTTTTGGAAGGCATAAGGTGACAAAAGGCAACAAGGGTCTACCTCACTAAGGCAAGAGGCGAGGCACTCACCTTTTTGAAGTGAGGCGCCAATTAATACACTCTAGCTTTTTCCTTATCACTTCTTTTATAGGCACATTTTACAATGCATACATTACACTCTAGGTGACGTGAGATACTAATACATATATTACTATATTGCACCTGTACATATATCTAGGTCTTAACTCTCTACCTATCTGATACATGAGTCATGACTCTTTTTTTAAGTGAGTATCGGAGTCATGATTTGAAGCAAACCACCTCATTTACAAAGAGGATATCATTACCTTCCAAACAAAAGCATACTGGAAAATAGTAAGTTTTTGATGGAAAGAATTGGAGCCAGCATATGGCATATGCTTAGACTGGGTACCTATTGCGCAGATAACCTTGCAAATATTGAAAGCCTCACAAGACGATCCCCTTGTAGGAAAAACAGAGGTTCTTTACCTACAAAACTTAGAGCTGCACAAAGAAGACGAAGGAAATACTTTGTAGAAGTACACTCTTTATTAACTAGACTCAGGAAGATAATATCTATCCATGACTCCCACTTGACTAGAAACTAGGAAAATGCCAGAAAAATAGCAACCAAATAACAACCTAACAAAGACTCTTTCAACTCTAGTAAAAGACTTACTCAAACTCCCAGTAAATAATTTATCCTACACAGTAACTTAGTGACTTAGACTCTTTTTTGAATCAATTCTCAACACTCCCTCCCACTTGATTCAAAATCACATATGCCAAGGCATAACATAAAGTAATTGTGCTTTGCCTGAGGAAGTGATTTAGTAAGAATATCTGCCACCTGTTCTTCTGTGCTACAACTCTTCAACTCAATCAGCCCTTCTGCAACCAGATCACGGATGAAATGATGCCGAATATCTATGTGCTTTAATCTTCCATGACAAACAGGATTTTTAGCCATTGTAATTACTGATAAATTATCACAGAAAATTTTTGTTGCTCCCTTTTGTTCTTGGTGAAGATCAGCAAGTAATTTCCTAAGCCATAACACTTGACATGTTGAAGATGCTGCTTCAACATATTCAGCCTCGGAAGAAGACAACGTTGTTGTTGATTGTTTCTTTGAGATCCAAGTAATAGGTGCTGAACCAAGAGTGACAAGGTTCCCAGAAACACTCTTTTTGTCGTTCACATTCCCTACCCAATCACTATCTTGTTGCTGCGAATATCCTTTTGCGACCAATCTGACTTAATGTTTCTGCACGCTTCCGTCAGCATGGTACTTTGTCTTGAACACCCATTTTACTCCGATAACATTTTTTCCATCTGGAAGGTCTACCAAGTCCCATGTCCCATTTTTGCTTATCGCCATAAGCTCTTCTACCATTGCACACCTCCATTCCATTTTTGTTGAAGCTTCCTAAAAGCTAGTTGGGTCTACCCAAATAAAGCAAAGGTGCATGTTTCATAAATATCTGAAAGTGATCTAAACTTCCGTGGAGGAGTTTCACTGGAACCTTTTGAGTCAAGCACCATCAATGTTGGGCTGCTACACCTTGGACTTGTGACGCTGGAGTTTCCGGAAGAGTGGCTTGGTGTATTAGTAAGAGACTGACTTACTTCTTTGGTAGGAAAGGCTTGTGAACTTTTATTGTTGCTTTCCCATTTCCAGCAGGTGTTTTCATCAAATACAACGTCTCTCCTGATAATCACCTTGCCATTTGTGGGATTATACAATCTAAAAGCCTTGGATTCAGAGCAATATCCGAAAAAGATGCATTTTCAAATTTTTCATCAAGCTTTTTACGATGTTGAGAATTTATTAGAGCATATGCAATACAACCAAAAATTCTCAAATGACTTACCCACGACTTTCTACCTTTCTAGATTTCAAAAGGTGTTTGACCCATGATTGCTTTGGACAATGCCAAAGTTGGGATCTGACCACAACCCAATTCTACTGACATGTGGGAATCTGAATTTCAAGAAGTCCTACTTCAAATTCGAAAATTGGTGGATGAGAGTGGAAGGATTCAAGGAAGAGGTGAAATTATAGTGGCAATCTTTTGTAATAACTGGAACCCCAGGTTTTGTTTTGGCAGAAAAGCTGAAACTTTTAAAAGGAAAGATGAAGGAATGGAGTAAGAATAATAGAAAAAATTGTAACACACAAAAGGAGGAGATTATGGAGGAGCTGGCCAAATGGGAAGCTGTACAGGAACAAAGAGTGCTCACAGAGGAGGAGATCCAACAAAAAACAAATTTGGCCATCACTTATGAGCAAGTAGCTAAGAATGAAGAAATAAGATGGAGGCAAAGATCAAGAATCCAGTGGCTAAAGCAGAGGGATAAAAATACTAAGTTTTTTCACAGAGTAGCTACTTCTCAGAAGAGGTATAATTCCATTGAGTCTCTACTGGTGGATGGATGCAATACTAATGACCCCTCTGTCATTAAAGAGACCATCAAAAGCTTCTACCAAAATTTGTACACAGAACCAGAGGAGTGGAGGCCTGAGCTACAATTACAAGGGATCACAACCATTAGTGTGGAGGAGCAGATAGAACTAGAGGGTCCTTTTGAGGAGGAAGAGATCTTAGGCTGCTTAAATCTTTGTGCTATGAAGAAAGCACCTGGACCTGATGGTTTCCCCATGTCCTTTTAGTTGTTTTTCTGGGAGATCCTAAAAGAGAATATTATAAAGGCTAGACAAGAATTCCATGCTAGACAGATTACTTAGAAGAGCTTTAATGCTACTTTTGTAGCACTCATCCCCAAGAAAGCCAGTGCTGCTGACTTATACGCTCCAACTTGAGGGAAGTGTTAATTATGGTATAATTGGATAGTGTAGATATGAGAATATTTAGATATGGCATGATTAGATAATGTAGCTATGAGAATATTTGGAGTAATATTTTATTAGTTTCTTTCCTTATTTACACTATTTGTAATAACTATTTAATCCCATCAACTTGAAGGAATAATCAATCAATTCAATTCCCAATATCTCTGCTTCTTCGTCTAATTTCTCATGGTATCAGAGCAGGCAGAGGTCATGAGATCAAATCTCACCACCACCATATCAAAAAGAATTTTCATATGTTTGGCCCATGAAAATAAAAGAATCAAGCTTGCATGTGAGGAGGCGTGTTGAGAATACAATTAAATAATCGAAGTGTGCTCTCTCTAACAGCTTAAGTTTTTAGATGAGATGGTCACACACTCAAGAGAACACAATTCAAAACACCTACCACCAGTTTTAAACTACCCTAGGATGATCATTTAACAACAAAAGATATGCATAACTAAATATGTGGAATAAAGTGGAAAGTTGACTAGGAAGAAAAATTAGTGGTTATATGAGAAAGTTTTGAAGCATAATTTACTAATTAGCACTAAACTTTATTCATTATCTTCAATATAGCAACTTATTGATAATATCCAAGTTCCCTGATCAGAAGTCAAAGATCTATTAGTCATCATTTATGTCAGTACATTTGGAAAAAGAAAGTGTACATTTTTTTATTGCTTATTCATCCCGTCTATCTCAAAAACCAAGATCGGATAGTTTCAGAACTAAGAGAGTGTATTTTTATTCTTCCAACTTCTCAGCCGTTAGCAGTGTTGCTTCTACAACAACAGTCAAACTAAGACCCAAAAAATGAAACTGAGGGAGTATCAATTATCACTATCCAACTTTAAATCAGCCTTACTTTGGATAATTTTCAATGGCATATAAGCAGCTACAGTAACCTACATCCACTTTCAACTTAACCTTAGAATAGGCAGCTTTATTCACAAATTCGCACTTTGAAGGCACCGGGTCTTTAAGTTGTTTAGTCACTTTGGCTGCAGAATATCATATAGTTAAATGATAAATAAAATAGCAAAACATTTTGTTATCCTAAAACTTACCCAAAATATACTGGTACAAGAATTTTTATCTTTCACAACCACTATGGATTGGATAAAAATAAAAGTAGCCTTTTCTTTTGACAAGGCAAAAAATGATAAAACTATAAATTACTATAGCTTCAACTATTAGAATTTTTCCGATAGGTTAAATTAAGTTACCATAGCTTCGACTATTATCTTCAAGTTGAATTGAGGTCCTAAGTTAATTTAAAAAGGAAGAACCTAAAAAATTGACAAGGGGAGAGAGAGACACCTTCAAATTTCTAACTTGATAAGGGCAGCCTGCAGGTATGAAAATTGCATCCCCTAATTTTTGAACAAAGGTCCATGGTTCAATTCCTGCGAAATAGAAAATAATTAAAATAAAAATGTAAGAAGAAAAAAAAGAGAGTTCCACATCGAAATAGGAACGTTTCAAGCTATGAGATTCATACATGAAACACTCACCACATTCTTCCTTAAGATTATTTTTGTGATCCTTAGTCAAGTAAAATGTTTGATCATGTATAGGGTGAATAACCTACAATGCAAGGCAAAAAGGAGTTGGTAATTGGTACATGCAGAATACTTTGTGTTTTAATTAATAAGAGAAAAACAAAGAATGAAATGTCCCACAGTTATCATTCTTGTATTGAATTATAAATATCTGGAAAAGAAAAAAGGAAAATTCTCTAAACATTAGAAGAAATAGAGTGATGTTTATTTTCTTCATAAGTTCAACTCTATGTCTCTACCAAAAACATCTTCATGGTAAATTTGATAATCTACAAACAACAAGCTTCATCATGTGTATGCATTTCAAGTTCAAGCAATATTTTCTTAAATTTCTTGTTTCATCATCTACAATTTCAGAAGATTGTGTTTCGAAACAACCCCCTCCTCTGTACTTGAATAACGAGTTAAAAGACAAATTTGGGAGATTTAAAAATATGTTTTATGTCTAGGTAGGAAATATGTCTCATATTGAAAATTCTTACTCAAGAAAATTTGGCACAAAGTGTAACATTATAGGTCCTGCTCTCAGGCAAAAGTTGAGGGACTGGTGACTTGGGTCACAGGTTCAAGCCTTGCGCCATGTGAACTAAGCTTGGTATTTAAGTAGAACAGGGTAAAGGGGCGGGCACAATATCCCCCAAGTTTCAAAGGTAGCGGTAGGTCTTGCGGGCTGACCCCAGATGGATTTCTTGGTCATCTAAAAACACCTCATTAATGAAAGAAACATCCTACAACCAATTATTCTTAACCCCCAAGCCAAAACCACGAAAGAAAAAATAGGACTCAACACTCATTCCAAAGTATGAATGCTAAGCAAATTTGGTTCATACCTGTGGTATACGACAACAATTAATATGCCTGAATTCCTTGAAGTGCTTCCTAAGATATTCCTCTAACTTTGGAATATCTTGCCTTCTAAAGATATCCCACAATGCACCTCCATCTATATCATCTGTGAGAAAACAAGAGTTTGAGAGAGAATTCAGCTTTATTATTCCCACAAGTTATTGGGGTTCTGTTACAGAATCAATTTACAGTTGTGCAATATTGTATATATGGTAGTCTAGCTGATTTGTAGGGATTTGATTATCTAGTTACCATAGTTAGTTAGTACTCTTCATGTATTTATATCATTGTAATCATTGAGCAATAAACAAGTTATTCTCTCCAAACCTTATCAATAACATCGTATCAGAGTCTTGTGGGATTAGAAAGTGTAGTATGTCGAACTTCACGGCTAGTCGTCGCCAGAATTAGCCACACGTGAAGGTGCATGTGTGGACCAATCTTGATCTGGAGTCCTAATTTGGCATCGCCTTGAAATTCTCAGCCGACTTAAGGTGGTTTTCAAGATATTGGACCAAGTTTTGAAGAATAAGCATCAACAATCAGGTACAATGATTTGTCTGCTGCTTTGATTTGTTTTGAGATGCAATATTGTTTGAATTATGTTGCTGTTGTTTGAATTTACCCTCCACTGTTCAATTGGTTTCACATCTGGATCATTTGGGTATTTCATATTTTAGTTTCTAAACCATCTCCTGAACAACTGGGTGTTTTAGTCTATTTGTTTTGTATCTTGAATTTTGCTGGGCATCTCTTTGAATGGTTTATGTCTATTTGAGTTGAACCCTTTAGCTAGGAATTGACTACTTCACTATTAATACCTTTATATGTGAATGGAGCTCTTTTTGAGTTGAGTCAAACAATCCGACTTGTTGGCGTGGACAGAACTGTTGGGCTAACATTTGGTACAGAGCTTTGGCAATTTCTCTATATTCTGATTTGATATGGTGAGTTTGGCGAAATGACTGCTTCTAGTCCATTATATGATATTTGGTTTTGGTTTCGGCGAAAGAATTTGTTAAAATCTTTCAATATAAAAAATCAATGAAGGAACTCACTTTTTTTTTTTTGATAATAGTAACTGTGTATTCACACCAAAAAGCCCATCAAGTAAAGCTGATGGGGTGGGATTTACAACCCCAAAGGGCTTCATCGAGATTAAAAGACTAGATAGGAGGCTTTACAATTGTCCTTTGAACTCAACTAAACTATCTATTTCCCCCACTATATCATGTTTACACCAAAAATACAAAAAACTTATACTCTTCATCTTGATCTTCTGGAAACAGCTAGCTTTTCCTTCAAAACATCTTTCATTTCTCTCTTTCCATAAAGTCCACCAAACACATGCTGGGATACTTCTCCACCAATCTTCTTGTGATCCCCTTCTTCCAACTCCTTCCCAGCTTTTCAACATATCAAAGGAGGTCCTGGGCATTACTCAACTTATCCCAAGTAAACAGAAGAACATGTTCCACAGATTTACAGCTGTTTTGCAATGAATGAACAAGTGACTATTTATCTCTGCCTCTTGCTCACACATAAAACACCTAGAGCAAATCTGAATACCTCTTCTCTATAGTACTTCGTGTGTTAAACAGGCTCTCCTGACCACCAGCCAGCTGAAACATGAGATTTTGTGTGGTATTTTAACCTTCCAAATCAGTTTCCAAGGCCATTTTGCTGCCATTGTCTGGCTGAAGTTCAAACTCCAATAACATGATTTCACGGTAAAAGACCCTTTGCTATGTAGTTTCCAAATTGGCAAATCAGAACCTACACTTACTCCTGGGAAAGCATTTAGAGTCTGCAGCAAATCAGCTACTCTATTTATTTCCCAATCATTCATGGCCCTCCTAAAAATCAAGTTCCACCCTTGAGGACTCCATACTTGTGCCACCTTATCCATCTGTTGCAAGCTCAAGATGTATAGATCTGGAAAGGTAGTCCTCAGAACCTCTTCCCCAATCCACAATTCATTCCAGAAACTTGTCTTCTCCCCATCCCTAATTCTGTACTTCAGGTTGTTAATGAAAGAGGGCCACAGGCTTCTAATTGTTTTCCACACGGAGCATCCAAAAGTACCAGTCACCTCCTCAGTGGTCCAACTATTCTGGAGCCCGTATTTTTGTGAAATGAATCTCCTCCATAGTGCCACATCTTCACTACAGAATCTCCATAACCATTTCTTCAGTAGACTTTCATTCTGTGCACCTAGCTTCTTTATGCCCAGCCCACCCTGTTTTTTGTTAAGGATCACCTTATCCCATTTTACTAGATTGTACCCCTTCTTCTCCTTGTTGCCCTGCCATAGGAAAGCTCTTCTAGCCTTGTTGATTTTCTTCTCTATGTTACCTGGTAGAGGGAATAGACTTATCATATAGGTAGGTTGGCTGTCCATGACTGATTTTATAAGAGTCAGCCTGCCACCCAAAGATAGATACTTGCTTTTCCATCTTGCTAATTTCCTCTCACTTCTTTCCAGAACCTCACACCACACTTCTAGCTCTTTATTTTTTGCTCCAAGAGTCATTCCTAGGTATTTAGTAGGAAGGGAGGCCACTTGGCATCCTAGATTCTCAGCTAGGGTCTGCATATTAGGGACTTGGTTCACTGGATAGAGGCAGTTTTTGTGTCAGTTGACATGAAGTCCCGAAATGCCCTCAAAGATTGTTAGGATAGCTCTCAGGTGCCTTATTTGTGTAACTTCTGCATCACAAAATACAAGGGAGTCATCTGCATACAGTAGATGAGATACCTCCATAGCATTGTTCATATTTATGTTAGCACAAAAACCTCTAATCCATCCATTCTCCCTTGCTTTCCTAATCATGGAGTTTAGGCCTTCCATAGCTAGAATGAACAGAAAAGGTGACATGGGGTCGCCTTGTCGCAGACCTCTCTGTGATTGAAAGAAACCCTCTGGATTACCATTAATTATAAGTGAAAATTTCACAGTGGATATGCAGAATTTAATCCAGTTGACCCATTTGTCGCCAAATCCCATATCTCTTAATACTTTGAGGAGGAAAGCCCAATTCACATGGTCGTAGGCCTTCTCAATGTCGAGCTTGCAAAGCACTCCTGGTTTATTTTGTTTCACCCTCGAGTCTACCAACTCATTTGCCAGAAGGGTCGCATCCATTATTTGTCTGCCCTTCAAGAATGCCATCTGATGTTCGTCCACTAGAGTTCCCATAACTGTCTTCAATCTCTCAGTGATAAGCTTGGCTATGATTTTGTAGACTCCACCAATTAGACTTATTGGTCTGAAGTCTTTTAGCTCTTCTGCTCCATGCTTCTTGGGAATAAGTGCTACAAAGGTAGCATTGAAAGACTTCTCAAAAAACTCGTTCTGGTGAAAATTATGTATTGTTTGCATCAGGTCTTCTTTCAAGGTCGGCCAACATTCCTTGTAGAAGCGCATTGTAAAGCCATCTGGGCCGGGGGCTTTGTCACCATCACTCTGTTTGAAGATACCCAGTACCTCAGCTTCAGTAAATGGCCTTTGCAGCCACTCTTGATCTTCCTGGGAGATTCTGGGGCAATTTGCAATCGCAAAAGCTGGCCTCCAACCTTCCGGTTCAGTGTATAAGTTCTTATAGAACTCAATCATGTTAATTTTGATTTGTTCTGGATCTTTGATTTCCTCCCCTCTGACTAACAGTTTGTCAATAGCATTGTATCTCGTGTGCTGTTGCCATTCTCTGAAAAAAAATTGTGTTGTTGTTGCCTTGTTTTAGCCATAGAACTCTGGATTTTTGTCTCCACCTAGCTTCCTCATTTTCTGCCAGCTTTTCCAGTTCTACTAGGACAGTTGCCCTTACCATCATTTCGTCTTCATTTAAGTTCCTGGTATCTTGAGCCAAATCAATATCAGCCAATTCAGCTAATAGGTTGTTCTTCTTGGTTCCTAGTTCACCACAGACTCGCTTGCTCCATTCCTTGATTTTTGGCTTGAGCATCTTTAGCTTCATGCTAAGTATATAATCAGGGCATCCCATCACTTCAAATTCATCCCACCATTCCTGTACTTGTTCTCGGAAACCCTCTATCTCAAGCCACCAATTCTCGAACTTGAAGTAGGGTTTCTGTTTTCCCCAGTCACCACATTGTAGCAAAATAGGACAGTGATCAGACGTCACTCTAGGCATGACCATTTGTTTAATGTTCTTGAAAAACTCCTCTCATTCTACTGAATAAAGAAATCTGTCTAATCTAGCGGCACTGTGATGATTTGGCCCTCTGAACCATGTGAAGTTTCCCCCGCATAGATGAGGATCATGTAGCTCCATTTCATCTATCCACTTGGAGAAGTCGGTCATTACATTAGTGATTCTGCTACAGCCTCTCATTTCTGCCATAGTTCTGACTGTGTTAAAATCGCCACATGTCACTCAAGGTCCTTCACATAATTCTTTAACCGCTGCTACTTCTTCCCAGCACTCTAGCTTCTCACTTCTGATGTGAGGAGCATATACACCAGTGAGAAACCAATTAAAAGAATTATGCACTGCTTCGAATTTATAGGTGATTGAAAACTGCCCTGTCTCCACTACGCTACCTTTCCACACCCTGCGATCCCACATAATCAAGATCCCCCCCTTGCTTCCATCAGCTTCCAAATACCCACAACGCATCCACCTGCTGGCCCATAGATGTTTGGCAAAGCTCTCCACATCTTTATTCACCTTTGTTTCCTGGAAGCAGTAAACATCTGCTTTCCACTTGAGCATAGCACTTTTAACAAGATTTCTTGTAGAAATATTGTTAATCCCCCTTACATTCCAAGATAGTAATTTTACCTTCATTTGAAAGTCAAACTCAAGATTCTCCCTTTTGTTCTGGATCCCTCCACTTCTTGGTTCAGACAGGACTGCAGATTTTTGAGCTCGTTTTTTCCAATTCCCCTATTTCTGGGCGTAGCATTTGAACTATCAGAATTCTTGTCTTCCAGTGCTGCCTTTCTCTTATCTAATCTCATCAGTAGGGCATGTGTTTCTTCCCTAAATCCTTCGAAAGCAACCCCATATGCGGCACTCAGTTCCATGATATGGGCATTGATCCATTGTGATGCCTCACCCTCTTGATCTTGCCGAATTTCGG